TGTTTGGACGGCTACGCAGGGCCACTTCCGAAGGCGAGAGTCTGCGGCGCCTCGGTCTCCCACACAACCAGCTGGCCGCCCAGGCCGGCGCCACCACACCTTCCGAGGAGTCCCTGGGCTCCGAGGCCAGCGCCACGTCGGGCGGCTCAGGTGAGGAGGGGCAGGGTGCAGGGAGAATGGGTGGACTAGTGTGGGTGGGTTGGGGGTGTGGGGCCTGGATGACAGGTGCAGAGTTCAGAAGAGGGTGGCGCTCGCTGGACGAGAGGCTCTGGGAGGAGGAGAGGGCGGGGACACCCACCAGAAAGAGGCCGAGGAGGCGCTGGAGGCCGCGGAGGATTGAATTGGCATGGCTGGAGCACAGGAGGTGAGGGGCAGAGGCTGGTGAGGGAGAAGGCCAGGCGGGGCTGAGGGCTGCAGCGGGTGGGAGCTGCCTGGCCCTGGCTGGGCAGGTACTAAGGCGCCTGGGTCTTCACAGCCCCTGGGGAAAGCCGGAGCCGGCTGCGCTGGGGCCTCTCTCGGCTGAGGAAAGACAAGGGCTCGTCACAGCCAAACCTCTCTGCCAGCGTCCAGGAGGATTTGGGTCACCAGTATGTGCCCAGTGAATCAGGTAGGAGGTGCCTGCTGGGTAAGTAGCTGGGTGGGAGACGGGCCACTCTGAGGAGCCCCAGCAGTGATGCAAGGGACCTGGGATTAGGAAAACAATAATAATAGCAGCATTGTCATTAATTAGCAATGCCCAGTGTCCTATGAAGCACTTTACAAGGGCTGCCTCACTCAACCCTCCCGCACTGTTGAACTATTTATTATTTGTATCATGTCCATATGGCTCAGGTGAGGAAACAGGCTCAGCCATGCTAAGTAGCTGGTGGAAGGCACAGAGCTGGTAGTAAGCACAGCAGCCAGAGTTGGAGTGTATGCCCCTGTGCACCAGACCCCAGAAGCGGCTTCAGGACACCATAGCTTTTCTTTGGCTAGCCTCCTCCCTCATGGGAGAGGGTCCCCGTAACTCCGTGTAGTTCTGAAGGTCAGGGGAAGACTCCCTTGCTCCTACAGCCCCCATACCGATGTGTGTATGCAAAGACACTATTTCTCTCCCAGTCTAGAGGCCCACAATCTGGACTGTGCCCCCAATTCTGCATTTCTCTGTAGCCTGAACACCCGACTGCCCCTCCCTGCCCCCTGCCCTGCCCCTGCAGGGTCTCCAGCATTTTCAGCACCTTCAGGGCTCTTTGCTGGAATGAGGGGAACATGGGATTTGCCCTGGTCTGTTTCTCTGCCTGGTGTCCTGCAAGGAGGCAGGTATTTCCCACCTGGGGTCACCCCGTCCCTCACCTAAAAAAGGGGCATTACTCAAGGACTATACACAAAGGCTTAGGAGGCCAGGTTTCCCGGCTGGCATGCAGAAAGGAGCAGGCCCACCAGGGCAGGCTGCGTGCAGGATCTTCAGCAGTCACCAGTCTGTTCTTCCCCAGTTTCCGATAAAACTCCTCCAAACTGGTCCAGCTGTGCCTCCAGTAGGCTTGAGGTGACTATGTCTGGCCTTGGCCAGGGGAGCTGGGGCACCTTCTCCTCGAGGCAGTGGGCATTGGGGCGCTGTAGTGCAGGAAGAGGGAGGGAGGCCAGCTGGTGGGGGCAGGGCTGGAGAAGGAGAAGGACTGAGACACAGAGAGAGAAGCCAACACAGAGGCCTGGGGACAGCTGATCCCTTCCCACCAGGGGCCTCCCTCCCAGGTCCATTTTGCTTGTGCAGCTGATTTCCTGCTGAGGCAGTGTCCCCTTACCTCATCCTCCCCCCTCCCTGCAGACTAAGGCTGCCCATGTCCACTTGACCAGCTAGGGCTAGCCTCTGGGGGGTGGAGGTAGAACTGGCAGAGCTGGGCCAGGATCACCTTTCACCTTGCCTCCTGGCCTCCCTCTCTCGCCCCTACCCAGTACCCTCCCTTTGTCTGATGAAACCGTATTCACTTTGTTATTGGAGCCTCAGTGTGGGACCCCTCCTTAGGGAAGTGGGTACAGTGGGAAGGGCAGGCATGCTGCTATTCGGACCATCCAGTCCTGCTGAGCATTCCTCTCCTGCCCAGCTCACCCCACCCCCACTCCCTCCTGGTTCTTTAGACAGGCAGCTGGGGGTCCCTGGGGCATCCATCCCTCAGCCTTCTCTGCCCACGTGAGAAAAATCCACCCACCCACCCCCACCCCCGGTGGCCAGGACCAGATTGGAATATTTCTAAAGACATATGCCAGGGAGCAGGAATGCAAGTGCTCACGGCACTAAGGAGCCACAGGCGACTGCACTGAGCAGAGACCTTGGCCCATCTGCACCCAGGCCATGACCGGTTCACCAGCCAGCTGTGAAGCCAGCTTTGCCGAAACAGCCTTCCTCTGAGGGTCTGTGCCTGGCTCGCTACTGAGCATATTCATGAGCTAATAATCATAACAATAACAAGAGCTAACGCTTATGAGCACTTATGGTTATATCTTAGACACGTGCTAAGCACTGTATATGCTCCTTGTAATTCTCACAACAACCCCATGAGCTTGGTGTTTTTTTCTTTTCCTCAATTTACACAAGACATGGTCCAAGGTCATGCAGATACCGTCTCTTGCCCCTTCAAAGGCTCTCACCACTCGGCTGACCTGAAGGAGTATTAGAAGTCTAGAACTGAATCCCTGGACCCCAGGGGCAATGAGGGGTGGGGAGGCTGACACACTTTCTGGCGCTGCCCCCTGTTTTGCCATGACTTCAGAGCTTTTGAGACTGCATTTTTGGATTGAATATTGTGTTCAACCCCAGGATTCTCAGCTCAGGTGACCAGCTCCTCTCACTTCCCTGTGGTGCCCCAGAGGGAGTGAGTATTGCCAGCTTAACCATTACGGTTTTTCAATATTTACTTGTTTTTATTTTATTTAACAAGTGTGTATAGAGCACTTGACGCAGTGCCAGGCGCTGCTCTGAGTGATTTGCAAACATATGAATGAGGTCACTACCATGCATCTTCAATAGTCAGCGAAAGGAAAAGATAGCTCTACACACAGCGAGTGCCTGGAGAGAGTGCTGCTCACCCCAAAGAAAATTCTCGAAAGTGTGGCCTGGGGTGGCACTGTTCGCATCTGACTGGGAAGAGAGAAGCTTTTACTCTGCTCTCCACCTCTCACATGTATCCTCCCCTCCCTCAGCAGTGTGAGCTGAGGTCCTTGCAACCCATGGCCATCTGCTCTCCCTGCAGACTTCCCCCCAGTCTTCCACATCAAACTCAAGGACCAGGTGCTGCTGGAGGGAGAGGCAGCTACCCTGCTCTGCCTGCCAGCAGCCTGCCCTGCACCCCGCATCTCCTGGAAGAAAGGTGAGATCACTTCTCCCCAGAGGGGGGCATGTCATGTGATCCCAGTGCCCTGCGAGGCTTGGGGGAGTGGCGGGCGAGGGGTCTCGGAGGACCATATGTGCTGCCCCACTCAGCAGCCCCTCCTGCTCCTCTCTGTCCGCAGACAAGCAGTCCCTGCGGTCAGAGCCCTCAGTGGTCATCGTGTCGTGCAAAGATGGACGGCAGCTGCTGAGCATCCCCCGGGCGGGCAAGCGGCACGCGGGGCTCTATGAGTGCTCAGCCACCAATGTCCTGGGCAGTGTCACCAGCTCCTGTACCGTGGCTGTGGCCCGTGAGCCTGGGGCAGGGACTGGGGGGGCGGGCGGCTGTGATGGAGGGTGTTGGGGCAGGGCTAGATGGGCTCTAAGCTGGAGCATAGGGGCTCACTGAGGCTCCCTTTCTCTTGCCAGGTGTCCCAGGGAAGCTAGCCCCTCCCGAGGTACCCCAGACCTACCAAGACACGGCGCTGGTGCTCTGGAAGCCAGGAGACAGCCGGGCACCCTGCACGTACACGCTGGAGCGGCGGGTGGACGGTGAGGGACTGCACAGGCTGGCTGGGGGAAGGGGTGGCAGGTGGAAGGCGAAGAAGCCAGGGGGGCAAGTGTCCTCCCCGGGCAGAGTTCCGCTCCCTAGACTCCTTACAGATAGCACTGAGAGCTTGGGCCACTCCTCTGTGACCTCAGCCCTCCTCCGATGGTGCCCGCAGGGGAGTCTTCCTGGCACCCAGTGAGCTCAGGCATCCTCGACTGTTACTACAATGTGACCCACCTACCAATCGGCGTGACTGTGAGGTTCCGTGTGGCCTGTGCCAACCGTGCAGGACAAGGGCCTTTCAGCAACCCTTCTGAGAAGGTCCTCGTCAGGGGCACGCAAGGTCAGTGTGATGGGGCGGGGTGTGGAGGAGGGTAGCCAGAAAAAAGAAGGGGACCCTAAGCCCAGGATCTACCCCCTTCTCAGAGCACCACAGTTTTGCTGCTAGGGGCACCGTGGTGATGATTTTCCTTGTCTTCCCTCAGATTCCTCAGCTCTGCTACCTGCTGCTCACCGAGACACCCTTGTTACCTCAGGGCCAGCCAGGGCCCCGCCTCCGGACTCTCCTACCTCACTGGCCCCATCCCCGACCACTGCTGCAGCTCCTGGTCCCCCAGGCCCCCAGTCAGCTGCTCTCAGCCCTTCATCTCCCCCAACACCCCCCAGCCAGGCCTTGTCCTCACTCAAGGCTGTGGGTCCACCACCCCAAACCCCCCCACGAAAGCACAGAGGCCTGCAGGCTGCCCGGCAAGCAGAGCCCTCCCCACCCAGTGCCCAGGTCACCCCAAGTAAACCCAGGTCTTCCGTCCCTAACACTGGGACCCCGACCCCAGCCTCCACTCCTCAAGGGGTTAAACCAGCGTCTTCCTCTACTCCCCTGTATATGGTGACGTCCTTTGTGTCTGCACCACCAGCCCCTGAGCCCCCAGCCCCCGAGCCCCCTCCTGAGTCCACCAAAGTAACTGTTCAGACCCTCAGTTCAGCCAAGGAGATGACCAGCTCCCCTGGCGGCAGTCCCCGCAGCTCTCCGGGGCCGGAGGGCACCTCTCTTCGACAGGGCCCCCCTCAGAAACCCTACACCTTCCTGGAGGAGAAGGCCAGGCAAGCAGAGAGGGGAAGGGATGGAGGACAGAGGGGGGAGTGGGTGGAGCGTAGGGGACACAGGAATTCAGAGAAAAAACTGGACTGCCCACCCAGCATGGGGAAGGTACTGAGATCTGGGTCATCAGCACTATTGAGTTCAAATTTTCTCTGGGCCACACACTGTACTAAGCTCTGTAGCCATATGATCACATTTAATCTTCATCACTTGGAGAGGAAGCCACTGCATTATTATCATCACCCTTTTCACAGATGGGAATACTGAGCTTAGAGAGGTTATGGGATTTGCCTAAGGTACAGAGTCACTGAAGGGCAGAACTGGGACTTGAACCCAGATTTCTAAGATTAAACCCCAGAGCCCACACTTGGGTCCCTGCTCGCCAAACCCCAGTCCCCTTAGCCTTCACAATGGTGGTGTCCCCCTCTTTCCTCTAAGCCTGTGGTGTCCCCTTAACACATAGGGGGCGCTTTGGTGTAGTGCGTGCATGCCGGGAGAATGCCACCGGGCGGACGTTTGTGGCCAAGATCGTGCCCTATGCAGCTGAGGGCAAGCGGCGAGTCCTGCAGGAGTATGAAGTGTTGCGAACGCTGCACCACGAGCGGCTCATGTCCCTGCATGAGGCCTACATCACCCCACGTTACCTTGTGCTCATCGCTGAGAGCTGTGGCAACCGGGAGCTCCTCTGTGGGCTCAGTGACAGGTAGCTGGGCATTCTGGGGGAGCAGGGAATGAGAGCAGAGGAAGCTGGGCTGAGATATCACCTGTCTTCCCTGGACCTCCAGGTTCCGATATTCAGAGGATGATGTGGCCACCTATGTGGTGCAGCTGCTACAAGGCCTGGACTACCTCCACGGCCGTCACGTGCTGCACCTGGACATCAAGCCAGACAACCTGCTGCTGGCCTCTGACAACGCCCTCAAGATCGTGGACTTCGGCAGTGCCCAGCCCTACAACCCCCAGGCCCTGCGGCCCCTTGGCCACCGCACGGGCACACTGGAGTTCATGGGTGAGGGCACCACGCCAGCCAGGGTAGGGGGTTGGGGTACTGCCAATGGGACAGCAGCCATAGCTTCCCCCACTTCACCCACATATATGCCATTTATTGGGTGCTTACTGTATGCAAGAAGTCCTTTCTATGTTTGTTTGTTTTTCCCCCAGTTTATCTTCACAATAGCCCTGGAGATTGGCATAACATTACTTCCATTTTACAGATGAGGAAACAGAGGCAGAGTGAGGTTATTTGTCCCATAGAAGACAGTTTTCAAAGGTGGAGCCAGGATTTGATAAAGCTGGAAAGATAGGAGAACCAATATTAATTTATATAAGTAAGGAAAACCAGCTACCACTTAGCTACCTGCTAAATACTTTATGTTCATTATCTGTATCCTTTAGATTTATTCTGAAAGCCACACTTTACAAATGAGGAAATTGGAGCGCCAGACGGGTTTAATACATTGCCCAGGGTCCTATAGCTAGAAGGGGCAGGCCTGGGATTGTAGCCAGCCAGGCCGATTTCAAAGGCTCTTCATCTTTGAGCTGGCCACATTCACTGTGAATGGGCACTCCACCTTGGAGCTTACCCGAGGGAGCCAGTGACCCTGGTTCTCAGCAACTCTGCGGTTCTGGTGACCCCACCATTCAGAGCCTGGGCTGATTCCTCAGGTGCCCACAGCTCCCCTGGAGGCCACCCCCACTTCCACCCTGCCTGCTGCTCTGGTCAGACCCACCTCAGGGTGGTGGCCTCAGGGGCCTCCCCAGCCTTTTCCTGCTTCCCTGCCACCAGGAAACTGGTTCAACTTGGCCTCTGTCTCCTGTCAGCTCCTGAGATGGTGAAGGGAGACCCCATCGGCTCCGCCACAGACATCTGGGGTGCGGGGGTGCTCACTTACATCATGTGAGTGCCCCGGACCCACCTTCTGCCCACGGTCTTCCCCCTCCCCAGCACGTGTGTACCCAGGTGCCAGTAGCCCTGTCCCTGAGTGCTATGCCCCTGAGGACCCCCATACTAATGTCTCCCTGGACCTGTGAGTTGACCCTCTGTTCACATGTCTCAACTGAACTGTCTCCACCACAGGCTCAGTGGACACTCTCCGTTCTATGAGCCAGACCCCCAGGAAACAGAGGCTCGTATTGTGGGGGGCCGCTTTGATGCCTTCCAGTTGTACCCCAACACCTCCCAAAGCGCCACCCTCTTCTTGCGAAAGGTCCTCTCAGTACACCCCTGGTGAGTGGGCCCTACACCTGCCAACCCCCCAGTATTACCTTCTTGGCCTCGGACTGCCCTGGTCTAGCCCATGCCCTGGTCTAACGCCTCCCCTGCCCTAATAATACACTGTTGCTACTACTACTACTAAGTGGTTGTCCTACCCACCATTTAAGACCTATGACACAAGCAGAATCACTGTCCCCATTCCAGAGACTGGGAAACTGAGAGTTGCCCAGAGTCACTCACTAGGGGTAAATCCAGGCGTGGGACTCAGATATATGGGAGGACAGAGCCCAGCTCTGCTCTAGGCTGTCCCTCCAGGCTCACCATTCCTGGCTGGGCCTGGCAGGAGCCGGCCCTCTCTGCAGGACTGCCTGGCCCACCCGTGGCTGCAGGACGCTTACCTGATGAAGCTGCGCCGCCAGACGCTCACCTTCACCACCAACCGGCTCAAGGAGTTCCTGGGTGAGCAGCGGCGTCGCAGGGCCGAGGCCGCCACCCGTCACAAGGTGCTGCTCCGCTCCTACCCAGGCAGCTCCTAGTGGCTCGGACCACAGCCTGGCCCCGGGATTCCACTCGGGGCTCCCGCTGATGCTGCGGGACATTCCAGGGCCCACGCTGAACTGGGTGGATTCAGGGCTTCGGACACCACCAGCAGAAAAATCCAGCCGGGCTGTTACCTCATGGACCTGCGGGGACAGAGGCCCCGGTTTCGGGGGCTTCGGCCAATGCCACCAGGCCAGAGCCAGAGCTGGAGACTCATTGGCCAGGCTGGGTGGAGTTGGAAGCAGGAAGAAGGGCAAGAACAGAATGGGGAAGTGAGAGGAAGGGGTGGGAGACTCTAGGAAGGTTCTGGGAATGGGGGACAGTGTATCCAGGGGAAAGTAACCCAGGAGGGTGTGAGTGGCTAGAGAGGTGGAAAAGGAAGGAACCCAGGGTGTCAAGGCCATGGGCTGGGAGTGCCAGTGAAGCAGGGACAGGACATCGGACAGTGACAGGGTGCCAGAGGCAGCGTGTGAGAGAGGGCAGCAAGATAGGGGAGGGAGAGGAGAGAGGACTCAGGTGGGGATGGGATGGGCCAGCTGCCAGCATCCCATTGAAGAATTGTGGAGGGCTGGAGGCAGGAGGCAGTGGTCACTCAACCCAGTGCTCTCCTGTTGCTTCAGTGAGTGCAGCTCTGGGCTCTGTGTTGGCCCAAGGATGTCCCCATGGCCCTCCATGGCCTTTGCCCTTCTTCCCATTCATATTTATTTATTTATTGACTTTTATGAAGTTTTCCTTCCACCCAATCCTAATTGCTCATGTTGTCCTGACCATCCCCCTCCACCCAAGCCATCCAGCTGTCTGTGCAGCTGTCTGTCTGTCTGTCACAAGGGAAATAAAAATAGCAAGCAGCAGGACCTATGTGTGATCTATGGGGAGAGATGGCTGGGGAGCAAGGTGCTGTGACAGGAGTATTCCAGCCTCCCCTGGGCCAGTGAGAGCCCAGGTGTACCAGCCAGCACCTTCAGATGTCCTCCTCCCTCCCTGGCCCTCCTGGCCCCTTACCTCTCCCTTATTCCTGAGGGAAGAGAGACTTCAGTCTGCTTTTCCCTCTGATGTTTCTGGAATCCTGGCGGGACCCTGAATCCCCACCACAACCCTCTAACCACACTCTGGTGGTCCCCACCCTTTCTCACATGTTCCATCATCACACCTTGGAAGATGCCAGGCTCTGAAATGGACCGGCCCACACCCCAATCCTGGCTCAGCCTTCTTTCTGCAATGCTTCCCAGCTCTGGTCCTGGTGCCCCAAGCAGAGGGGGTTTATCATGATGCGAGCAGGTGGTGTGAAGAGCTGCACAGGAGCCCAGGACAGGCCCACCCCCCATGCTCTCAGTGTCAGACCACCAATCAGGCACCAGCTGTCCAGAGCAGCTGAGTTCTCTGGGCAGTGTGTCTGCTGTGACGATGCTACAGACGGGCATTTTTCCTAGACCCCAGGGACACCCAGACTGGACCTTCTGATCCCCATGGCAAGCTGCTGTGAAGTCTGCTGGGGGTGAAGGCACCTCGACTCTGGCTGCAGTGCCACAGAATGGTTAGTGGGTTCTAGAACTGAGGTGGGGAGAGAAGGGAGCCAGTTCTCCTTGGGTCCAAAGGGACTGTCCTCCCCCCTTCACCCCTTGAAAACCCTGTTCTTGACAAAGTGACAAGAATAAAGTTGCCACCATGAGCAGAGAGCTGGCGCTGGTGTGTTGCTGATCTAGGTTGAGGGCCCCTTGGCTGGAGCCCAAACAATGTCATCCCAGCCCAGCCTCTCTGGCTTCTCAGGACCTGAGGGAAAAGGCAATACCTATCATCATAAAAACAGCAGTTAAAGCAGCTGGAAGGGACCAGAGAGACATCTTTTAGCTCACCTGTCATTTTAGCGATGAAGATATACAGTTTGCCTGTGAGAATCTGTAATCCCCTACTCACTGCAAGTGTTTTCATATAAAAATGAGGTGCCTGAACTCATATCTTGATAAATGGTAAAATTCCTCTCCCGTCCCCCTTCTGATCTTGAACTCCCTTCGCATCTCCATTGGAAATGGCATATGAACTGCTTGTTCCAAACCCGGAGGAGCAAAGGTAATTTATATCAGCAGAGCTGTGTCAAAATTGCTCTGATCAAAAGGTGACAGTGCTCCATACCCGGGTGGGCAGTTGCCGTAAATGGAAGCAATGCTCTGCCTGGCAGGCTGGACACCAGGCATGTCCCATCACCTCTGGTGCCCCTATACATCAGCTTTGCCCCATAATGGGCCTGGGCCCACCCAAAGTTGCCGAGTCAGTATTAGTGCCAATCTCCAGGGACAGTGCAGCCCATACCGTATCACATGGAGGAAAGGGATGCTGCTCTTAAACATCTTTACGGTCCTCTCTAGGTTTATCTCAGTTTACCGCCAGGGGGCACAGCGCGGAAATGACAACCCTAGACTCTGGGGTGGGGGTGGGGGTAAGGCGCTTTCGGATTGGTCCGGACAGCCACGTGGCCCTCTCATAATTGGCTGGATGGACAGAT